AGATCAACATGACGAAGATTAGGGGAGTGGAGACCCATGGCAATAGACACATCATTTATAGTGGCTATCTGAACTCATGTTCCATGTGGGGCTACAACACCTCTTCTTTTCGGAACCATTCTAAACCATTGAAAGATACACAAAATTAAAATTGATTGAATACTGACTTACAATAACAATCTATCTTTTATCGAATTCTAAGAAGTTAAAAGATATGAGATGCAAATTTAAGGAAGGTTACACACGAAACGTGGGCTCCTACCACTCTATTACACCTTGGGTCTAAAAGGCGGTACACAACAACAACGTATGGCATGATGAAATGAATTAAGTCTGTTTGTATTCTCAGAGAAAGATTTACATGCAAATAATAACATGAATAAGCCAATAAATGTAAATTTTATTCTATAATGAATAGTTTGCTGATACAACTGAAATGAAAATAGAAAACTAACTCAATAAAAGCTGAAAGGAAAATATTGAACAACTACCTAGACCTAAAAAGAAAATATAGTTGCTAAAATAAATACTAAAAAAATAACCAAGACGGGAAAACTAAAACTGAATAGCTTGATTCGGTGGAGTTAGTCTTACTAGTAATTGAATATAATTTTTTGTGCAAAAATATTAAAGACTGAATTTGAAAAACAAACGCAGTAAATAACTATTTATTAAAACATAAACGACAAGAAAAATGAGACATATTTTATGAATAATAAATTGAGATAATTACTACATGCATATATAACATAATAAGATAACAAATTAGTGTAAACATCTAATATGCTTATTTATCATAAGAAGACATACAATCATTTTCTAATCAAGTTTTTTATTATTTTATTTTTCATTTATTATTTATATAGCCAGTATTAACAGACATTTTTAAATCAGGAAGATCAATACAAACACAAGAAAACTCGATGATTTTCTATCGAGTCATCATTTAGTGGGCCCGTCGACTCGACTAACCGATATTCAAAACCAACGATCATATACCATCACACATAATCATACCAAATTTTATATAGATATAATAGGTAATAAATGCAATATTTAATGCAGACTTATGATATACAGATGCAATTTCATACAAGTAAAATACAAAGAATTGGAAATATCATAATTATAGAATTAATTCAGTCATGCAAGGATTTTGCAGTTATAGAGTGAGATTATTAGTAGTGGTAGCTCTAGTGACAGAAGTATTACTTTGGGTGATCAAATTATTAAAAGTTGTGAACGATTTAGATATCTTGGGTCCGTTATTCAAAGCGATGGTGATATAGATGGGGATGTTAATAGTAGAATTCAAGTTGTTTGGTTGAAGTGGAGGAATGCTTCGGGTCTTTTGTGTGATAGAAAAGTACCGCTTAAACTAAAATTAAAATTTTATAAGACGATGATGAGACCTGTAGTGCTCTATGGCGCTGAATGTTGGCCTTTAAAAGAGAAGCATAATAATAAGTTAAGTGTTGCCGAAATGAGATTGATTAGGTGGATAAGAGGCTTTACACTTATAGACAAAATGCAAAATGAGTATATCAGTGATAACGTTGGTGTAGCTCCTGTGTCGTTCAAAATTAGAGAAAGTTGTCTTAGATGGTTTGGTCATATTATACGTCGACCATTTAATGATCCGATTAGGAGAGTAGATGTTTTAGATTCGACTTGTGTTAAGAAAAGCAGAGGTAGATCTAGGAAGACTTGGGCTTATTGTATAAAAAATGATCTTAATTTACTAGGCCTAAATGAAAATATGACACTAAACAGGATGCATTGGAGAAAAAAGATTCATGTAGCCGACCCCACGTAGTGGGATTAAGGCTTTGTTGTTGCTGGTGTTGTTGTAGAGTAAGATTATTAGTGATTTCATCATGAGCAATAATTGAGACCTATAACCAAAAAAAAAGATGTGACAAGGGCATGACTGCATCCTATAAAATAACTATGAATTTACAAATAACAAGTATTAAACATAGCTAGAAGGAGTACGTTTATCCTCTAATAAAGAATAGTTACCTACCTCGAGACGACAAATGCGATACTTCTACGAATTTGATGGTTCGATTATCAATCCTACACTAATTAGAAAATAAAGTTTAAAAAGTATAAAATTAAACTTATTTATAAAATTAGATGCAACCAAATCAATTTTGTGTTATTATCTTTTATATTATTTAATAGTAATAAGTTATGAATATTAACCTAACAAAACATAATTAAAATATTATCTGATTTTTCATCCTTCAAATTCCAAAAAGTTTCCTCAACTTCCGTTTATTGATGCGATAAAAAAATAATAAAAAATATTTATTATTATTAATGTTATGAAAGCCACTAAAGTATATTATATTTTTGAAATGTTCATTGATTAATTTTTTAAAATATATCACCCACCTATTTTTAATATTCTCATATAAATTTTTTTTTTCATTCCTATTCTTTTTTACTTTAACACTAAATCTTTACTTTTCTTATGTCTTTTTTTGGCTAGTCTATATATATATCTTTAATCATCTTTAGTATCTAATATATTATAAAAATCACTAAAGCAAAATTTTTAGCATCACAAATTATTCTCTTAAATTTTTTATGGTCCGCTTTATATTTTTCTAAATTCTCTAATTTCTTACATTTAAATTGATTTTTATAACAAAATTGCTTATATTTATAAGAGCTTTTTGTTTTGATTCCCCATGTACATCTTTTACAACTTGTTTGATAATATTTGTTAATTTATCCCACATTTCATTAACTTCTTCATTAGCATCCTAAATCTTAAAATCTTGATAATTACTAATAAAAGTAAATTTATTTGTGTATTTTAAGTGCCACAATCTAATTTTATGATATTAATTCATTGTATTTTTTATGTTCCAATCCTTCATCTTGAAATCTAAAACTAATAATCATTATTGAGTACTTAAATTTATACTTGGAATATCTTTACAATCTTGACAATCTTGGTGATCTCTTTTTTTATAAGAAAAGAATCAATTTGTGCCTTATTATATTCATTTTAATAAATGATAATATGCTTATTTTCTTTTTTGAATAAAACAAAAGCATACACTTAAGCAAAGTCTATTACAACTTTACTCACTCCAAAAACAGAGCAATCATGAATAATTCTAGAATATTCTACCACCTATCAATATGTTCATTTAAATCTCCTCTAATAAATTTTTTTTTGAGAGGTATCATTTGTATTAATTCTTCAATGTTATTTCAAAATTGTTCTTTTGAACATAAATTTAAACCTACTTGAGGAGCATAAACACTTATAACATTAAGAATTTTAGTATCAACAATAAATTTTAGGGATATAATTCTACCTCTAATTAGACCAATTCTATTAATTTTTATAACATTATCTTTCAAATTATTATCTATGATTAAACCTACAATATCTGTAGTACAACTTATACCTTAATATTAAAGTTTTAAACATAAGTTAGCAATCTTCTTTGTCTTTTTTCCAACCAATTTAGTTCCATGAATGCATAAGGTATTTATTTTACTATGAACCATAATTGCTATTAATTCCATTAATTTATTTGTGAGAGTACTTAAATTCCAAGTTCTTATTCTAATATTAATTACATGGACTTAACTTCCTTATCTACATTCATCCATAATGTAGGAACACTTGCTTATTTAATACTACATCTGAGCATCGGTGTAGTGGCTATTACACACTTTTCATTGTATTTAAGTCATACAACGCATTGCCTCCAGGAGATATCATAACATTTACATAATAATTTAAATGATTCATGCCATAATTTTTTGACAAAATATTACACTGATTGTTGACTACTTAACACAACCCTTCAATTTTCACATCCGGGGCTTGGGATGCGACAATGATATTGCTAGATATTTGGATAAACTATTGTAAAAAAATAGAGTTTACCGAACTTGTGCTTTGTTGAAAAGTGATTATCAAAAAGAAAAATTTTGACTGAAGTACACGGAGAAGATCATGAGAAAGAAGAATTAATACAAGATTAACATGATCCTAAGTACATGCCATCAAATGAAAAACTACTAAAATAAATGCAGAGGCAAAACCAACTTTAATCTTATGAGTGGGCAAAATTATCAAATGTTAAATTTTTTTAGGAATTAGGCAAAAAAAAAAAAAAAAAAAAAAAAAACTAGCAAGTGGGCAAAATTAGTAAATTGTCTAAATTACATAGGAAAAGTTATTAAATTTTCTATCATTTTATCAAATTCCAAAAGGAAGGGCAATTTCTCACCATAGACTTACCCTTCTTCCGCAACTGAATAAACGTCTCATCTTATATATGAAGTATCATATATCCTTAATGGCTAAATTTCTAGGATCTATCTACCAATTATATTAGATATCCACAGAGAATGAACATGTCTCACAGTTGACATATTGGAGACAGACGGGCCTAAGATATTTTGTTTTTGAGCCTTGTTCAACCATATGGTAGCTTTGTGCCTTTGACCCACTGGTTGAAAGGGGTGAAAGCTCCTTTGGCTCTACTTTGAGTTTCTTGCACTTTTAAATATAGAAGACTGTAATTAAACAAATAAATAATGGGTTATTCGTATAAGACACTCTGTAACTTGATCTTTTGGGGAAAAGGAATAAAAGTTTCAAAACTTACAATAACTTTGGTTTTAGTTAATCAGGGGTTTCTGGACACCTTGGCAGTACTACTATAGTTTCTTTTGAAACCTACCAAACTGTTTTATTAGGTTTTCATGAAACTTGCTATGATAAAATTTCCAGTATTTTATAACAAACCCTGACAGCAATATCTGATTTCAAAGTAAGCTTTAATAGGACTATGGGATAAGGCCAAGGTTAATTATCCTTATTTGAAAAGTTTAAACCATTGTTCTTGTTTATAAACATTTGAAATTGCTTCTATTTGTCACCAAACTAAACAAAATTGTGTTTTACAGAAATCTAAGACGCTTATGAAAGTACTAATTGCAACTATAATTTTTTAACGCAGGTTTTCCTATTTCTTTGCCTAACGGTGACTCTAATATGTGCAAAAGAAGTTTCACTCTCTGAATTGGACCCAACATGTACTTGGAGGGAAAATTCTGGATTATTTTCTGTTTTAGAAGCCTTTAGAAGGTTGCCTGCTGGAATGGTTTCCGTGCTTCTTGTGACATCTCTCACTTGGGTGTGTTTTTATACTGCTTTTACTGACATTTTGGTAGATCACTCTCTAATTTTCACATCTCTTAATGCCATGTATCACTTCAAATCCAGCTGGCATGGTTTCCTTTTCTTCTTTACGACACTGACTGGATGGGCCGAGAAATCTTTGGCGGCAATCCCAACGGAACAAAAATTGAAATTGATGCTTACACCCTTGGTGTCAAATATGGCGCATTTGGCTTGCTTCTTAACTCGGTGATAAAGCTTTTACATTCTTGAACCTTTTCAATAAATTTTTATTCATTCTTTCATTTGTCATTTATGTGCAACCAAATTAGCCTAGTGGCTTGGTGCTTTATCTCCAACCTCTGGGTCTAGCATATTCATTTTATGTGCAACTGATTTAGCTTAGTGGTTGGTTGGTTGCTTTGTCTCCAACATCAAAAGGTGTCTAGCGCATACATATAGGGGCGGAATCAACCTCTTTTTCATGGTGGGCAAATCTTCTATATATATAAAATAGAATTAAAAAAATAAAATGGATAATATATTATTAAAAAAACATTTGATTTCATTGTGAGAGATGAATTGAATGATGAATCGATGATTAAACATTTTTCAACCTATTTTACATCCTTTTATAAATAAATTAACATTCTTTCATTCATTAATTTGTAAGATTAGACTTGATTGTTTTTTATTTTGTATATCCTAATTTATAATATGTACATATTGCATTATTGGTTAAATTTATTTTCTTCGAAATCTTACAATTATGAAGATGTATTTGTGTATGTATATATATATATATATATATATATATATATAGGGAAAAGTGCAGGTTCACCCATGCCTACATATTGGTGTGTGCGGGAGTTTAAAAAAAAAAAATACCTTATTTGTTTAGACATAACATGTTGACTTGACATACTTGTTTTCAATGTTCAGATTGTTCTTGGCGTTAGCTCAATGTTTCTTGAGCCCATATGCCGGAAATTTACCTCAAGGGTTGTTTGGGTCCTAGGCAACTTCGCTCTCTTCTTTGCCATGGCTGTCAATACAGCTCTAATTCTTATTTCCAAGAAGTTATACGCTGAAAACATGAATGCTGTAGCCGGAGAACTTAATGGAGTGAAAATAGCAGCTTTGGTTATCTTCGCGGCTCTTGGATTTCCACTAGCTGTTCGTGTTATTCTATGATGCTTCCAATTCCACCAACCTTCCAAAACCTGTCTCCTAAAGACTATTTTTCCATTGCAGATCTTGTTCAGCATTCCTTTCGCCAGTGCGGCGCAGCTCGCCATGAATGATGGAGGCACCAGACAAGGTATGATTGATGCATTACTCTGAGCGGGGAATTTGCATACATAGGACACAATTCTTGTAAATTTACATCTCTCAGACGTAAACTTTCATATTTACACACGTAGCACTCAAATCTCTAATATCGCATTAAAGATGCACTGTAACCACTTTTTAAACATGAAATACACCTTCTCATGCATAAGTTCAAAACACCAAACTGCTATATATTGTTTAGGTGTGAGAAATGCAAATACATAAGAATTCTGTGCTATGCATGTAAATTTCCCTTATTTTTATAATGCATTAATGCATAAAGATGCCATAGTGTTGAGAAAACCTATACCTCAGTTTTGACTGTTTCCATCTGATGAACTTTGCAGGACTATGCCTTGGTATTTTGAACATCTCCATTGTCATTCCACAGGTATGCTACAATACTAATATTTGAACTCTTTACTGCTCCTAAAATGGCTTATTTTTATTATGGGCATTTACCTACATACCGCCCACTTCATATCAATTTACATATCGAACATCTAAACTTTATTTTTTACATTTATGACACCCAAATCTTTTATATCACATAAAAAATACCGCCATTTTTACTTTTAAAAAGTGACATACACCATTTCATTCATGGGTAAGGTTGGGTGTATGTAAAAATTAAAGTCTAGATGTTAGATATCTAAATGCATAGAAGTTGAGTGGTTTATATGCAAATCTTCCATTTTATTATTGAAAAAATCTTAGTTTAAGTTTCTGTGAAGCACTAATTTCACAGTGCAATTCTGATTTTACTGAATTCATCTCACATTGAACTTGATATGCAGGTGATCGTTTCTCTTGGTGCTGGTCCATGGGATGCTCTCTTTGGCACTGGTAACATCCCAGCCTTTGCTCTAGCTTCAGTCCTTGCTCTATCTGGTGGCTTCATTGCCCTTGCGGTTTTGCCAACGCCCCCTAAATTGTCCAATAATTATGGATATGGGCCCGTGCAGTAATTGTCGACGAAATAACATGCAGAAAAAAAATAAAAGCTGTATTTATATGATTTGATAAGAAAATTATATAATATATTTATCTATAACAATGATCAATAAGCCCACCATCTGAGGAGGCAAGAAAGGTAAACATTTAAGCAAATCAATCTCATTTTAATGCAATAATATCATCCTTTGAATATCATGAAGTCCCAATTTGTTGTTTGGTGGGATAAATTGGTCCTTCCCTAAGTTTTAATGAATTTGCCTTTCTGTTGAAGATGTGTGGAAATGAAGGAAAAAAAATGCGTTTTCTTTTTTTTTTTTTTGTTGTAAATTTAAAAGCCATATGACAGTCTATCTCATTGGATTTTACATGCACATAAACAATCGGTGATGTATAATGCTGTTTGATTGTTACCAATTGATGATGCGGATGCTATTTATGGGACAACTATGTTTTGCACATTATTAGGAAAACAAGTTTACCGTACACATTTATTTGCCATAGCTCTATATTTTGCTTTTCCAAATGATCTATAACATTTCCATGCTTATTGCATTTCCATGACATAAATAAGTTTTAAAGGAAAATGCATTTGATTCTTGAATAATGGAGCATATTAAAAGGATATCGTCAACATCAATGAGAACTTTAGTAAATGAGGTATACCTTAGACCTTTTGTAGAGGATAGTCATCCTTTGACTGACAATAATTAGTTAAAAGATTTGCGTACATACCGCTCAATTCCTATATATTGACATATCTAACACCTAAACTTCAATTATTACGTACATACCACCTTACCAATGCTTGAAAAGGCGCATTCTGCTTTTTTACAAGTTAAAATGGTGGTATTTTGATGTGATAGGAAAGATTTGGTGATGTGAATGTAAATAGCAAACTTTAGGTGTTAAATATGTAAATGCCCCAAAGTTAGTGTTCGCAATGGTGTTAGGTAGCAAATCAATTCCTCAAGCTTGCTTTAGTTTGCAGGGGAATTTGTTGTGACAATGTATGACGTTTTCCCCAGATTGCTGAAGGCTAGGAGGAAGTTTTGTATGTAAGACGATGCAATTTGTCATGTATGAGAACATTCTGAACATCTAATTGTTGCTTGATTTGGTTTTATGTTGCGAGAACAAATAAGGCATTCATGAGCAGTGAGTTTTAGTACTACAACAACGACAACAATAGCAACAAAGCCGTAATCCACTACATGGAGTCGGCTACATGAATCTTTTTTCTCCATTGCGTCTTATTTAGTCATATTTTCATTTAGTTATAATAAATTAAGATCATTTTTTATACAATAAGCTCAAGCATTCCTAGCTGTACCTTTGCCTTTCTTAACATGAGTCGAATCTAAAACATCTTCTCTCCTAATCGGATCATCAGATGGTCGACATTTAATGTGACCAAACCATCTAAGATGGCTCTCGCTCTTCTAAGATGGCTCTCTCTAATTTTATCTGTAATTGCAGCTACACCAACCCTATCACGGAGAGTATGATCATGACATCAATTTTTTTGAGTTTAAGTACTATAGAAAATATATATTTCTCAGTATTTGACACCAACTAGATTACATTATTTGGTGTCTTAAATAAGCCTTCTACTGATGAACCCATCAAACATACATTTAGTTTTGCAAAACAATTTGCATTGAGTAGGTTTATGTCAAAAGGGAGGAATTTTATTCCTTGTGTTGTTTTCCTCCAATGCTTGAACTTCTGCATTCATTTATTGTTTCTAGGAAGATTTACATGCATACCACTCAATTCCTATGCATTTACATATGACCACCTTGCCTATGCTTAAAAAAGTGTATTTTTTTCACGTGATATGAAATATTTAGGTGTTAGATATGTTATACATAGGAAGTGAATGGCATGTTAACATTAAACGCATGCATCCCTTACATTTTACATTAAACATTAATATTAAATTAAAAGGATAAATAAAATTAAATTATTAGACAATCCAATTAAAGAATGATTGCCTTGGGATGCTTATGTAATCTTTATGTCATGTTAAAGGTTCTCCATCATTTAGAATGTTGTATGGGGGGCTGTGTGGACTTTTGGAGATGAAAGTTGGTGGAAGATTAAGGGAGGTTGTGACGCAGTACTGACTTGATTACAGAGAGTTCAAATACTGGAGAATGGAAATATGATTTCACAACATTTAACATTGTGGCTACAATGAAATTAGTTTCTACATCATAGAATTTATGACTTTTTCTAGCCAATGGGGGGTTGAACTATCATTTAAAATGTTGTATGGGGGCTGTGTGGAATTTTGGAGACGTTGTGACGCAGTACTGACTTGATTGCAGAGAGTTCAAATACTGGAGAAGGGAAATATGATTTCACAACATTTAACATTATGGCTACAATGAAAGTAGTTTCTACATCATACAATTTATGACTTTTTCTAGCCAATGGGGGGTTGAACAAGTTTGAAATACTTGTAATGAGGGCCAAATTGTGGTGCTGAATGAACAAACAGTAAAAATTTTTAAGCGATGAAGTGATGGTAATGTTGTGTAGAAATACAAAAAATGTCTTGTTAGGTAATATAAGGGGCATTTACATACATACCAACAAATTATTATGTATTTACATATCTAGCACCGAAGACATTGTTTTTTGTATTCATACCACTCAAATATTTTATATCACATCTGAAATATCTCTTTTTAGCTTTTTAAAATGTGAAGAACGCGTTTTCAGGCATAGGTAAGGCGGCATACATGTAAAAAATTAAAGCTTAACTGTTAGATATGTGAATACATAAGAATTGAGTGCTATGTAGATCTTTCTATAAGTAATGGAAAAAGTTGCCAAGGAAGATATGTAGACCTTCTATAAGTAATGGAAAAAGTTGCCAAGGAAGATATTGGTAGGAAGCACTCACCCCTAAAAATAAGTAGTTGGTGATATTGAAAAACTAATGCTTTTGTAATGGTAATAATATGATGAACTTTTCATTTCACAACTTTCATACACATATATTGAGAAATATCTATGTTCCAACTTATAAGTCATTAACAATGATAAGAGAAATTTGAATACCCTTGAATGCATGGAGATTTATGTGGATCCCAAATATAACAATATAATAAATCAAATGGAGTAGGAGTTGATGCATGTCCTACCCATGTATCATGAAGGATTATATGGAGCTTGTATCACATAAAAGGTTTATTAATATTGTTACTTTGATTATAATTATTGTATGTGTTGTTTATTTTTTTTGTCGCAACAAATAGAAAATTTGTCATATTTTGTTAACATTGTTTATATCATTTTGCAAGTGTATGAGAAATACATGGATGAGTGTATATGGGCGATTTATGAATCCCCCAATCACCTTGGATGGATTGTTCATGAAATAAAGTAACATGGCATCAAGAAAATTAAAGCAAAGGTCAAGACAAGAGTGGTCAATGAAGGGCTTGAAATTACATTCAAATGATAGAAGTTCATTGAAATTACTCATACAACTCATCCCAATAATAAGGAGAAATGAAGGATTCTTCTAATCCACCCTTTGACATCAATTGTGTCTTGTCACTCTAGTCCTTACATTGCATGGGCTGGCCTTGCCACGTCCTCTTATAACCACCCTCACTCCCCACGTTTCAGAACAACTTCCTAACAATGGGGAAGATCTATTGGTGGTTTCAATCAACACATCTAAATTCAGGAAATATGTTATTACACTTTCTACAAGTTAAGGGTTGGTCATGCCATCTCATTTGTGGTCTTCTACCACTCTTCATGCATGGAACAATCAACCACTCCTCTTGAAAACTAAATACAAAGAAACTAGTGTGTATTTATATTTTTAACATTAAATATTATTTTATAGGTTGTAACACACACACGTAACCCCAAATCCCATACAATGTACTCATCTCTCTCTCATAAAGCAATCAACTAAACTTTCCTCTTTTTTAACTATAAATTTCACATACCTCTACATACAAATCTCTGCACCCTACACCATGCTTTACCAAACTCAATATCAAATCTCCACTTCTTATTGTAAGCCTAATCCTCTCCTTCCAATCTTCAACACAAACTCTTAACTTCCAACTAGTTCTTTATAATCCGTGGTGGGCTCTCAAAATTCCTTGCCTTTAAGGAACCTTGGCTCATACCACTCTAATCTATTCTTCTAGTTTTAACCAAACATGTGAAAACCTAACTTGATGCAAACTAGTGTATCGAGGTGGGTTGCATCATTTCAATGCCACAACAAATGCAGACTCCATATATACTCAACCAATTTATACCTAAATAACATCAAACATAATCAAAGGTAATAGACTCCAACCACTTATCTATAATCTTATTATCACATATACAAGCTTTACTAAGAATTAAATAATCTTTAGTAGAAAAATGAAGAAATAAGCTATATGATAAATTAATGATAAGTATACTTAAGCTTGCAAGAAACCTCTCAAATATAAGTGATTGACTTTCTTAAAAGTCACATAAAATTCAACATGGTTGTGTAGAAAACCTTGCCAATCATAATATTAGGGGCATCTTGCAACTCCTGTTGAGACTCTGGATTGAGATGGAGTAGTTCTAACTAGAGCAACAAACTCTTTTTGACTCTCTCCCGCCTCTTCTTTTAAATCTTCCACAAAATACATAAATAACCCATCCCCAGAAGCTCTTAATGAAATTGTTACCTGTTGTCTATCATACCTTTGACATACTTGAATATCTATTCTACTCTCAAATACTCTCTATAGAAACTATGTTATTCTATGGCTAGACTTATCAAAGTTGAAACATTATCCAAAAAATAAATAACATCGATCATGATCTCTCCTTCCACATAAGTTGCATACTAGAGTATTACTCATAGAAATAGATGAACCTCTGTTCTTAGAAACTGTAAAATCTTTCATGTATCATATGATCCAAACGAGCTCTTCTTCTAACTAACCCTGCATCTAAGAAACTCCCATATAATTCTTTTTTGGCTCACAGTCAAATGTTACTGAGCTTTTATTAGATCATTCTATATTAATCTTGCCATATTTACTAGCTCAGTAACATCTCTAATTTTAAATTAAATAAATGGGTGCCTTAAATTATCTCTCAGTCTTCTAAAAAAATTTATAACATTTTTATTCTAGAGTACATGCTAATTACAAGACATGTCTCACTAGTGTAGTGAACTCGACCACATACTAAATAACTATCTTGCTTCCCTAAACCAATATAAGAAAATTTTCTTGCATCTAATGTTTGGTTGCCATAGACACAAACTAATCTCCAAAAGTATTAGTAAAATGCACTCAAATGATGTTAGCATTTGGCTTGCCTTGAGATTTCTCCCAGTTCTGGCCTAGCCACTAGTGCTCAGTTTCATTAAGTATAAATACTACTAGTGGTACCTTGCGGTTATTTGG